TTGGGGGTGGACCTCAGAGAGGGTGGGGTCTGGGCAAGGGAGGGAAGGGGCATCAGTGGTGTACAGTGCCACCTTCAAAGCAGCCATCCCCCCCTCCCCCAGAACTGATCTTTGTAGTCTAGAGATCAGCTGTAATTCTGGGAGATCTCCAGGCTCTTCCTGGAGGTTGGCATCACTGCTTGTAAATCCAGCAGGGGCGCTAATGCTTGTAGATAGTGGGAGGACTTCACCCGCTGCTCTCCTCCTGCACTTTCTCTTCTGTGTGCCAAGAGACAGTGTGCCAAGAAGGGCAGGCAGATTCATTTTCCCAGCAGGACTTGGCCTTGCGCCTGGCCTAATTGGCTGGGCTTTCACTCTTGCTGCGAGCCAAGCAGATGGGCTCACTGATTTGAGCAATTCGTAAGGAAAAGGTAAAGGTTTCCCTTGCTCTGCAAATGATCCTTTGAGCATCAGATTAATGTGCACCAAGAGGGAAGGGGCATGAGGGCACTGGCCCCTCCCCCACTTATGCACAATTGCCATTTGGTGAGCACAGTGACTGCATTAGGGTTACCAGTCTACAGGTGTAGTGGTTAAGTGCGCGGACTCTAATCTGGGAGGACCGGATTTGATTCCCCACTCCTCCACTTGCAGCTGCTGGATGACCTTGGGCAAACCATAGTCCTGTCAGAGCTGTCCTTGAAATAGCAGTTCTCTCAGAGCTCTCTCAGCCCCACCTACCTCACAGGGTGTCTGTTGTGGGGAGGGGAAGGGGAGTTTGTAAACAGCTCTGAGGCTCCGAGTGAAGGGCAGGGTATAAATCCAATCTCTTCTTCTTCTTCTTTTTTCTCCAGGGAGAAGCCCAGTCTGCAGTACCGTAATTTGTTTTGATAGTTTTCTATATGAATGATCACCTGATATGAAAATGGAGGGGCAAGGTACCACAATAAGGGAAGTATCAGAGGAAACAGGAAAATCCCCTCACGTCCTCCAGGCTGGGAGTATTAGGGAATTGCTACGAAGGACGCCAGGAGATCTGATGGATCAGCGTGCTGGGGAGGGATCCCTTTCTCTCCTCCAATGGGAAGCGCAGTGGCAAGAGTTCCTGAAGACATTGGAGTCACCTCAGTCTGGATGGGGAATCCCCCCCTTGCCAAAGAAGCCTTCACCCTGGGAGGATGCCAAGGCCTTTCTGGCTTCCTTTGAACAAGTGGCCGAAGCCTGTTGGTGGCCCAAAGATGAGTGGGTGACCCGACTCCTGCCAGCCCTCAGTGGAGAAGCTGAGAAGGCCTTCAACAATCTGGATGTCAGAGACAGAGAGGATTATGGGAAGGTGAAGGCAGCCATCTTGAGAGGGGAAGCCCTGAGCCGGGAGAAGCAGCGTCAAGAGTTTAGGCGTTTCTGCTACCAGGAGGCCGAGGGGCCGCGGGGGGCTTACAGCCAACTGCGGGAAATGTGCCGTGGGTGGCTGAGAGTGGAGAATCACAGCAAGGAGCAGATCCTGGAGCTCTTGATCCTAGAACAACTGCTGAGCGTCCTGCCCCTGGAGATCCAGAGCTGGGTGCGGGAGAGCGGCCCCGAGAGCTGCTCCCAGGCGGTGGCCCTGGCCGAGGAGCTCCTCTTGAGGCAGGAGAAGCAGGTGAGGCTCTTCTGTTCTGTGGGCCCTGAGTCCCAGAGGATCTAGAGCAGAGCAGGGCTGAGACCTCTCTCCATCTCAGTGGGGAGAAGGGGAACACCAGGGCATGATGTTGTGGTCTGTTGTCATCTCCGCCTCTCCCCATATGTCCCTTGGAGAGCCCTATGCTCATTGGAACAACATCTCCTGGTAGTCCCCAGCCCAAAAGACATCCGTTTGGCTTCAAACAGAGCCAGAGCTTTTTCAACTCTGGCTTCTCCTGGTGGAACATGCTTCCAATTGAGATCAGGGCCCTGTGGGACTGCCTGCAATTCCACTGGCCCTATAAAACGGAGCTGTTCCGCCAGGCCTTTGGCTGAGGCTGTGGATGTCTGATTCCATTGGCTTCCCCTGCACAAACCTGCTTAAATTATGCACTGCACCAACTTAACCATAGGCGTTAGCCTGGGCCCACCTGTTGATACCTGGGTTTCCCACGCACATCTATACCTTGCTCCCGGGATGTGTTGATTTTGTCAATGTTCTTAAGCTCGCCATCATGTGTTAATCATCTGCTTGGTTTTTAAAATGGATATTGTTTTTATCTGTGAATATATTGTAACCTGCCCTGAGTCTGCTTGTGGGGGAGGGGGGGATATAAATTCCAATAAATAAATACATATTTTTATTTTATTACATTATGTTTGTGGATTGCCTGATCCCCACGAATATGGGGCTCTGGGCGATGTGCAGATTTAAAACCATAAACACCATAAAACCATATCCAGCATATTATACAATAGTTAAGAAGAAGAGATTGGATTTATACCCCGCCCTTCACTACCCAAAGGTGTCTCAGAGCGGCTTACAAACTCCTTTCCCTTCCCCTCCCCACAACAGACACCCTGTGAGGTAGGTGGGGCTGAGAGAGCTCTTGACAGAAACTGCTCTATTTTCAAGAACAGCTCTTATCAGAACTACGGCTTGCCCAAGGTCATCCAGCCAGGTGCAAGTGGAGGAGTGGGGAATCAAACCCGGTTCTCCCAGATTAGAGTCCGCACACTTAACCACTACACCAAACTTAAAAGCAAGTAGCGCTATTTTTGTAATCCTGTTTCTGGTCTATGGGTGCTTCATGAGCGTAGGGGGGGGTGTGAGCTCCACGAGGGATGAAGGGGTACAGGTAGGGTGCCTTGTAGCAGGTACTCATTTGCATATCAAGTGACACACCCCTAATGTAGCCAATCCTCCAAGAGCTTACAGTAGCTCCTGTAAGAAGAGCTCTGTAAGCTCTTGGAGGATTGGCTACCATTAGGGAGGTGTGGCCTAATATGCAAAGGAGTACCTGCTACAAAAAGAGCCCTGCGAGAACATCTCTTCCTCGTGGAATTGTGTAAGATGTTATTTGGCAGAGAGTCCCACAGGTCAGGGCCTGGATCAGATTGATCCTAAGTTTCTCATTCTTCATTTTGTTTTACAAGTCTTGCCCCAAATAGTGCTCCTGATCAGTTCTATTAATTAAGGAAGGAAACCCCCATCTTGATTACTCTCTGTTATACAGTGATGGAGCTATTCAACTCTGGGTGGGTAACCAAATATGTCATGTTGTGTCTCCGCCTCCCACCCCTGGTCGGTTGCTCAGCCCTGAAAGGTTCTCTCTCTGCCGTTGCAGGTGCTCTCGGGGGCAGTGGCTGGGAGTGTCTCCGAGGCAGACCAGGCTCTGTTTGAGAGTGAGCAGAGGCATCCTTGGACGGATATCAAGGAAGTGGAGGACGGAGAGGCCAGTCTGCTGGGTAAGGAGGGCAGCTCGTTCTGGGCCTGAGACAAAACTAATAACACAAAACCGTGATGAATGACTAGGACCAAATTACTATCAAAGTTGCTTCATTAATTCATAGTACCAGGGCTTTTTTTGTAAAAAAAGCCCAGCAGGAACTCATTAGCATAATAGGCCACACCCAACAGCAGACACTCATTAGCGTATTAGGCCACACCCTTGACAGCACAGCACATTAGTCTATTCGGCCGCACCCCCATGTTACCAGAAGTGTGGTAATCCAGCCACACCCACCTTTTGCTTCTTATTCTGTTCACCTTGTTTCCTTTGCATGTTAGGCCACACACCCCTAATGTAGCCAATCCTAATGAGTTTCTGCTGTTGGGTGTGGCCTGTTATGCTAACGAGTTCCTGCTGGGTGTGGCCAACTTGGGAGCCAGCCGGAACTCCGTTCCTGTGTGTTCCTGCCCAAAAATAGCCCTACATAGTACTCACTCTTGAAACATTTCATATATACACCATACAAATCCTTAAAGGTGTGTTCATCAAAGTGTAAAGCATAAAACGCCTAATTGTTTCTAACCACAACAGAAGTCTCTCAATAAACCTTGTGGCAATAAGGAAGTCTCTTATCATTCCATTGACATATAGACACAGTTTCTTATCACTTTGTAGATGTATGAAACACACTGGAGATGTGCAGCAGACTCACAGCACTCCAAAGTTTAGCGCATTTATCTGTCCCGTGACTTGTAGTTTCTTCTTATGTTCAAAAAAAGGTTTCTTTTGGACAAGTTTGTTTCCTCTAACAGACTTTTGCAGATAGAGTCCATTTCAAGGAAACTTTGTGGAAGACAGAACTCCACACTGTCCAAACATCACATTTGTCTTCACATCTCGCTGTAGCAAGAGATGCAAAAGAACAGTGTAATATATTCAAGTACATACCAGTACAAATCATTGTCAACTTTCCACAATGCACACAAAGACAATCACAATTCACTCTCTACGAAATCTTCAGTGCAGCTAACACTCCTATCCACAGTTAATATAAAACGCCTGCCAAATTGCATTTCTCACCAGGCTTAAAGTCACAGTCCCACTTTAATCACATTTGCTTTATACTTCAAACCACATGTACTTCCAGCTCACCAAGAACAGGATGTGTGACCATTAGCTCTCGCATTTGTGTCCTAATTTGCTGCAATTCATTTATCTTGCCGCCTTGATCCAATCTCACCTTCACCTATGCCTCTTAACTCCGACTGGTCCTGCCTGACGCTTCCACTCCCTCCATCTTCCAGTATGTCAGGCTTGAAGAAATTTTGTTTCCGTTTGTCTGAGGAAGTATGCTTGCACATGAAAGCTTATACCTTAAATAAAACTTTGCTGCTTGCCCCTGGACTCAGACGTTGTTCTATTATTTCATAACTCCCTTCTTGCTAGGATTGGAGTATATTTGTGGGAGGCAGCCAAAGCTCCCTCTAAGCTGTGGAGTCCTGTGAGCAAAAATTCTACTTTCTGAGCTACCGGCATTAAAGTTGTGAGCGAGCGATTTGGCTACTGCATAAATTAGTTTGCTCTGCAGCCATCCTTCTTGAGCTAAGACAAAAATGTGTCTAACTGAGCTTCGAGGGAACACGGGGGCAGCCCATTTTACAAGTTGTTCCTGAGCCCCCGAAGTGATGCTTGGGCCTGCGCATTCCCTGTTGAAGTTGGAATGTTGGAGAACATTCTGTGGGAATGGCATTCTGTTTGATATTGATAACCTTTAAATGGTTGTGGTTTAATACAAGACAAACGCGTGATTGCCTCTTTGAATTGTGCAGTTCCCTTCTAGAGGTCCTGGCCTCTTCCCTGCCCCCACTTCGAGCAGTTGTCTTGTTCAACTGTAAAAGAAGGCTCGATCTGGGTCCAGAATTTGCTGCAGTTTTATGTGCAATGGCAGGCCTCGATGGGGCTGCAGTTTACATTAATGATATTTCATGCTGAACCATGGATACCAGAGAACAAAACCGTGCATGGCATCTTGGGTGTGGAGGGGGAGGAACTTAATCCCTTCTCCCCACTTGTCTTTCAAATAAATATGAGTGTGGTCCCCATTTGAGGAGAGGAAGGACACAGACCCCGGTCACACTAGCGGGAAAAGCCACGGCAGAAGTGCGGCTTTTTAGAGCCGGAACAAACAGAAGCGCGGCAGCGGGATCAGACAGGTCCCCCGAGGCTCTGCGCTTCTGCCGGCAGCCGCGATCACATGCTGCAGGGGAAGTGACTCTAAGAAGGGCGAGGAGGGGCAGCCGCAGCAGTTGTGTGCATGCGCAGTTCGCCATTACCATGCATACCACGGGATAGCTGCGCGTCGGCGATCCCACGGCCGCCGTTGCTGCGCGTCACCCGGTAGCTAATGCCCTTTCACTAGTCTCTTTTAGATCCACATCTTCGGCCGGAAGGGACGGGTTGGGGGCGGGGTGTGTGACGCTTGCCAGATGTTGGCATCTGATCGCGCCAGTTTAATCCGCCCTCAACCCGTCCGTTTCGCGGGGCAAATCCTCCTGTGTGACCGGGGCCTCAGACAGAACTTGCTCCTTGGTTGGGCCTGGCTGGGCGAAGGGTATGACCAGCCGCACGCTTGAGGCAAAATACACACAGATCAGTTATGGACAGGGCCGGCCCCAGGCTTTTTTGCACACTAGGCGAGGCTACCTTCTGGTGCCCCCCCTGCACCCACCAATTTTCAAACATAAATGTATTTAGGAAGAATGAAAAACACAAAATTTGAAATTGCTATTTTTTTAAAATCGTGAGAACAAGTAATACAATCTCTGATTTTCTCTCTCAAACAGAAAAACCACAAAGCATGCTGCAGGGCAGGGGAGAGAAAGAGGCGCTCCGGGCTGGGGGTGGGTGGGCAGTGGTGGCAGGGGCCTTGCTGCGCCCCTGGGAGATCGGGCGCCCAGAAAGGAAGTAGGGAGGGTGGTCAAGGGGCAGGTCCGGCATGCTGCGGGCCGGAGGAGAGAAAGAGGCAGTGGCGGGGGTCAGAGTGATGCAGGGCTTTTGGCAGGGGCCGGGGGGGACGCAGTTTGGTGCCCTCATGATTAGCCCGCCCTAGGCAAACGCCTAGTTTGCCTAGTGGGTGGGCCGGCCCTGGTTATGGAGGGAATGATCTGAGACTTGACTTCTTGCCAGGGTAATAACTGGATTGCTCTGCCTTTCTTCAAGCAGGTGAACTGCAGGAGAATGAAAACGATGGGGGACTCTGGGGACTCACACTGGACAAAGTCAAGAATGGGGACTTGAAAGGAACCTCTGGGAATCGAGGAGGACAAAAGAGGCTGGGGGGAAGCCATGCAGTGGAGCAGAGGGATCATCCCGTTCCTTGCCAAGGTGGGGAATTCCAAGAAATCGTTGTCCAAGGAGAAAAAGCAACCCAAAAGAGGAGGAATGGAGGCCACAGTGCTCACGGAAGGATCCACATCAAGAAAAAACAAAATGCACATGCAGAATTTGGACAAAACGTCAGTCAGAGCATGACCCTTATTTCACATCAGCAGGTTCACCCACCAGAGAAACCATATCATTGCTTGGAGTGCGGAGAGAGCTTCAGCTGGAGGACGAGCCTCACTTGGCACCAAAGAATTCACAACGGGGAAGAACCTCAAAAAATTCCAGAGTGTGAAAACAGCTCCAGTGGGCAACCAGGCCCCAAAGAGCATCAGATGGTCCCCACAGGAAAGAAACCATCTCTGGACTCCGAGAGTGAAAGGAGCTTCAGTGACCGTGTAAGCCTCACTGCTCAACAAACACCACACGCAGTGGAGAGACCCTATAAATGTTCAGAGTGTGGAAAGAGGTTTAGGCGGTTGGCACACCTTCAGCAGCATCAGACAATCCACACAGGGGAGAAACCCTATCAGTGCTCAGAGTGTGGGAAGAAGTTTACTCGGGTGTCATCCCTGCGGCAGCATCAAACAATCCACACAGGAGAGAAGCCTTACGAGTGCTCAGAGTGTGGAAAGGCCTTCCGTCACCGCATCAGCTTCACTGTGCATCAAAGGGCACACACAGGGGAGAGGCCTTACAAATGCTCAGAATGCGGACTGAAGTTTAGTCGGACAGCACAGCTGCAGAGGCATCAAAAGGTCCACAAGGCGGAGAACTCTTACGAGTGTTTAGAGTGCGGAAGGAGATTTAGTTTCAGTTCCTACCTTCAAAGGCATCTGCTGATGCACGCAGGGGAGAAACCGTATCAGTGTTTGGAGTGCGGAAAAAGGTATACTCAGCCATCACACCTTCAGCAGCATCAACAAACCCACACACCAAAAACCACATAGTGGCTCAGTTTGCTGCAAGAGCTTTTCTGTGAAAACCCATGTGGTATGTTTACACTGTCTGATGAACTACTGCTTTGATTGCCCTGGTTATCAAGGGCTCAGAAATTGTTCCTTGAAGAATGATCTTTTTAGTGGTTGCCCCCTTTTCTGTGTGGATCTCTGTCTGCAGAACCTTAACAAACTGCTCTTTTTTGCCTTTTTGGTAACTGGTGAAAATATTTCTGCTTTGCAAAATCTGTGGGAGAACACGCTGTGCTCCCTGTTACTGATGTAAAACAGTGTGACTAGACAGCACCCTGAATAAGCAAAAGCAGAGAGGTCCGAGAAGGTGGAAGGATCAAAATGGCTGCCATGGGTGATATTTGAATGTGGCTTGAACTACAAGGGAGGGACCTGCTAAGCCATTTGTGAAAGCCCTCACAGATACTGTCTTTACAAGATAGGGAACTTGGTGGGTTTCGGGGGGGGGGTGTCTTGTGGGTTTTGTTAAAAGTTCCCATCTTTTTTCTCAAGACCTGGAAAATGCTGAGGACTATCAATATGAAAGTTTTTCCTAAAGAATTCCTTCCAAAGTGTTCTGTGGTTGAAGGGATGTCCTACATTATTCTGGGATGTGTGGGCTGGAGATTTTTTGTGGGAGAGCAAGGAAGGCTGGTATCTTCCCCTACCCATCCATTAAATTCTGAAGAACAACAAAACTTGATAGAGGTTTACAAAATTATGCATGGGATCGAGAAGATAGAGAAAGAAGTCCTTTTCTCCCTTTCTTACAATATAGGAACTTGTGGGCATTCAATGAAATTAATGAGCAGTAGGTTTAGAAAAGATAAAAGGAAGTACTTCTTCAACCAAAGAGTAATTAACATGTGGAATTCACTGCCACAGGAAGTAGTGGCAGCTAAAAGCATAGACAGTTTCAAGAGGGGACTGGATAAACATCTGGAGCAGAGGTCCATCTGTAGCTGTTAGCCACAACATGTAGATAACACTATGTCTGAGGCAGGGATTTTCTGTATTCTTGGTGCTTGGGGGGAAACAGTGGGAGGGCTTCTGGTCCCACTGGTGGACCTCCTGATGGCACCTGGGTTTGGGGCACTGTGTGACATAGAGTGTTGGACTGGATGGGCCATTTGCCTGATCCAACATGGTTTCTCTTATGTTCTAAACAATTGCCTGATTGGGAATCTTAGATCTTAAAAATGAAATGGGCAGTCTTATTTTCTACCCAGTGTTGACCAAGCTGTGGCATATTTATAACCTTGAGAGCCCAATTTCTATTAGGCAGAAGAATGGGGTGTGGGGTGTTTTCTGCTTATTTAATGGGCTCTCCAGGTATATAACTAAATGTTTTTGACTGGAAAGAAAGGGATATGGCCATCCAAGAAAACCATCCTAATGAAGAAGAGTTCAGATGAGAATTTCTTAAGCGGTGGGGGAAGGGAAATGGGGAAGCAGAGCAGATGTCCTGACTGAGTTTTTAAGAGCTTTCACCACTCTGTAGCCAAAAAAGTTCTACAGGAGGATTTGTTTGGACTGATCCTCGTGAGTAGGATTTCCCCTTCCTTGAAGGACTCTGTTACAAAGAAGGCAGAGCCCCTTATTATCATTAGAGTTGAGGGGAAGGACAAATGCAGTTTGTGAAACACAAATTCCCTAAAACACAATCTCTTCTTCTCTCCGCACCCCAACTTCCATACGGACTGGGCAGCAGACAGGGGGAAAATACTCCCCGCCAAGATCAGCTTTTTTATCTATTGGGTTTCCTTCCTTTTCATCTAAGGGGGTTTCCTTCACAATTTCCCTCAACCCTGTAGCTCTCAACCTAACCTACCTCATAGGACTGTTGTTAGAACATAATGAGGGAGGGAGAAGTTTTAAAAAGTTACCTGTGTTTCTTGGTCAGTTTGAGGACCTGAGAGGACACAACATTCAGCAGAGGGTTGGTTTCACGTTGTTAAGTGATGCTGGGTTTTTTTTTAATCTGTCAACGCAAATAGTTTTGTTTTTAGTTTCATATATATTGACTTCAAAAATCTTTGTTAAATATGTAAAGGATCAACCCAGTGGAAGTATATGGTGATTTTTTCCCCAGTTTTGTCTCAGACAGCAGAAATAACCGATCACTCAACCAGACCTGCTTGGCCTGAATTCATGAGATAGGTCTCTGAAACATAAAGACTCCACGTGGGGGCAGTGGAGGCTCTGTTTTAAATCTGTCTTGCATACTGAAACTTCACTGGGCAGCCTTGAACGAGTTGCTTTCTTTTACCCTATCCTACCTCACAAGGCTGTTGCAAAGTAAATGGAGGAGCAGAGAACCCTATATGTTTCCTGGAGCTCCTTGGAGGAGGATGAGATCACATCTCTAGTTGCCCCTTTTTGTGTGGGACCTGTCTATAGAAAACTAAGACGTTACCTCCTTGTAACTTTTGGAAGCCAGCCAACAAAAATATTGCTGTTTTTTAAAACCTATGATTGGATAGGCTGGTTGGTTATACTAGATATCTCTGTCCCCTCTGTTAACTGCCATAAGCCACAAGGTATAGATAGGAACTCTTGGTCTGGGGCAAGTGGTGTTCTGTATTCTTGGTGCTTGGGGGGGGCAGTGAGAGGGCTTCTAGTGTCCTAGCACCACTGGTGGACCTCCTGATGGCACCTGGTATTTTTTGGCCAGTGTGTGACAGAGTGTTGGACTGGATGGGCCATTGGCCTGATCCAATATTGGCTTCTCTTATGTTCTTATGATGACCAGCTAGCATCCAAAATCTATGAATGGTTCTTTCCTGTCAGGGGGGCCTGAGAGGGTGTGAGGATCAAAATGGCTGCCAGTAGTGACAGCGGGGTGCTCTTTTCGCCGAGGCCTTGCTTGAATCACAAGAGGGGGGGGGCTGCCACTCAGCCATTTGTGACCACTCCCCACACAGATACTGTCTTCAGAAAGCAAGGGGGAGGGCTGGGGGTGTTCAGAAGGATAGTCATGGGTTTCATTCATGCCTCAAAATCTGGAAAATGCTGAGGTCTGTGCCAGAGGTTGAGTGTTTTCCCTAAGAGCTCTGAGGATGGAGTACAGTTGCCACTCTGGCATAGGAAATTCCTGGAGATTTAGGGGTAGTGCGGGGTACAATGCCATAGTGTCTACCCTCCACAGCAGTAGGGTTGCTAGGTCCCCCCCCCACAGCACGCAGGGGAGCCCCCGGTTTCTGGTGTTCCCCCCCCCATGCTAGCCGGCGGGGGAGAATTGCCCCCTCCACAGGCTAGAAGCGGGAAATTAATGTGATGTGCCTCCTTGAAATTTTGGGATAGCCACTGGGGAGGGCCTCCATGGGGTATAATACCACAGAACCTACCCCTCAAAGAAAACATTTTCTCCAGGGGAATAGTCTGGAGATCCGACTACTGATGGGCAGTAGGTTCAGAACAGGCAAAAGGAAATACTGCTTTAGAGAGTAATTAAAATGTGGAACTTGCTGCCAGAGGATGTAGTGATGGCCCCAGGAATAAACAGCTTTGAAAAGGGATTAGATTTGTGGAAGAAACGTCTATCTGTGGTTGCTGGCCATGGTGGCTGAGAGGAACCTGCACATTCAGAGGCACTAAGTCTCTGAATCCCACAGCCAGGAGGCAACCTCAGGGGAAGGCCTCGGCCTCTATCGTTGGCCCTCCAGAGGAGCTGGTTTGGCCACTGTGTGAGATGGGGATGCTGGACTAGATGGACCATTTGTCTGATCCAGCAGGGCTCTTCTTAGGTCTTTATGCTGTGATTCCGGGAGATCTCCAGGCCCTACTTGGAGGCTGGCAGATATAGCTACCCACATGGAGGCAGCACTTTGCTATTCAATGGATTTACAATGACCAGCCATTCCAAGCGGCATTTCAATTATGTAGCCTCTTCCGCACTCATTTTTGTCACTAATTTTTACCTATTGTTTTGCACCCCCCCTTTTTCTAGATGTGTTTTGCTCCCTCTAGGACTACTTGAGAGAGCAAAACACATTAGGGGGGGGGGGACCCTGAGGCAATAGGGACAGACAAAAATGACAGTGTCCTTGTTTTTAATAGTGGGTATTAATAACACAGGGAAGATGATTCGCACCTTTCCCATGTTCACCTAGAAGAGGTGAGCCCCTTCCATTCCCCCCTCCCACTGGCTGACAGTGCCTCTGAGCATGAGCAAAGCAAATCTCCAGCCTTGCTAGCCAAACACAGCCAACGCTTCTTCCCCTTCTGGGATAAGGAAGAGGGCTCTCTCAGCCAGAAGCTGCTGGTGCTGGAATCCAACAAACCTTTAATGTTTCCCTTTCTCTTATGGAACAAGTGTGTTTTGCTGGCGCCTAAAAGATATGCAGACGATACCACTCTAATGGCAGAAAGTGAAGAGGACCTTAAGAGCCTCTTGCTCAGGGTGAAAGAGAGCGCAAAAGTTGGCTTGAAACTCAACATCAAAAAAACTAAGATCATGGCATCTGGCCCCATCACTCCTTGACAAATTGAAGGGGAAGTCGTGGAAGCAGTGACAGACTTCCTGTTCCTGGGATCCAAGATCACTGCAGACTGTGACTGCAGCCATGAAATTAAAAGACGCCTGCTCCTTGGGAGGAAAGCGATGGCAAACCTAGACAGCATAATAAAAAGCAGAGACATCACCCTGCCAACAAAAGTCCGTATGGTCAAAGCAATGGTATTCCCAGTGGTCATGTATGGCTGCGAGAGTTGGACTATGAGGAAGGCCGAGCACCGAAGAATAGATGCTTTTGAATTATGGTGCTGGAGAAGACTCTTGAGAGTCCCTTGGACTGCAAGGAGATCAAATCAGTCAATCCTAAAAGAAATCAACCCTGACTGTTCCCTGGAAGGCCAGATAATGAAACTGAAGCTCAAATACTTTGGCCACCAAATGAGAAGGGAGCACTCACTGGAGAAGACCCTGATGCTGGGAGAGATTGAAGGTCAAAGAAGACAGGGACGGCAAAGGATGAGATGGTTAGACAGTGTCATAGATGCAACCAACATGAAATTGAGCCAACTTCAGAGGACGGCCGAAAACAGGAGGGCCTGGCGTGATCTGGTCCATGGGGTCGGGAAGAGTCAGACTTGACTGTGCGACTGAACAACAAAAAAGGGCTGTAAAGGGTTACAGTGAACGAGCTCCGCTTCCTAGACGGGATGCACAGGAAGGAGAGAAATAGCCGCGTCCTTCTTTCTCCGCTTCCGTTTAGCGTTTGCATGCAGGCGAGCTGGTGGATTTGAGGCTGGAATCGGACGGGATGCTTGGAAGGGTAAAGAGCGGCGGGGCGGGAGGGGGAAACTCCGGGTAGGCCAGGCGGAGGGTGTGTGTGTGTCTCTCTCTCCGTCTCTTTGCAGACCAGGGCCGAGAAGAAGGTCAGCCTGGTCCTTCCCTGCTCCCGAGGAGGATTGCTAGTTCTGGATCTAGACCCTTGACCTGTGGATGGATCCTTACAAAGAGCAGAAAGGGATCCACGCCAGGAAGAGATTTCCCTTCTGATCCACGCATTTTGAAACCCTTGTCCAGTTCCAGTTCTTTCTTCCTCTGGGCAACCCTAGCTATGGTATCTGCAAAGTCTGCTTTGACCGGGGCGGGGGCGGGGAGAAGACAGAGCTGGCCCCATGAAGGACCCTCCCCAGGAACACACACGTGGAGAGAGAATCCCGCATGGAGTCCTTGGGGGTAAACGCTTTCCTCAGCGTCTGCTTTCCTCAAAGAGAATCTTAACCCTTTTACTTGGTCAATGGGATTCCTTTGGAGCAGGAGGAGGCGTGTAGAGCCCCCAGATGTAGGAGATGCAGTGGGACCCTCATTTGGCTGGGGAGGGGAGAGGAGGGTATTTCACGATCTGGAGTTCCTGTGGGTCCAGCGGGACTTCCATCTCCCCTCTGGAATCCTTTCTGCCTTCCTGGTTTTGTCGTTTCTTCCGCCTCCATTGAATGGGCAGGTCGAGAGGGTCCCAGATAGTGAGTGTTGCCAGCTCTGGGTTGGGAAATACCTGGAGATTTTGTGGGTGGAGCCTGGGGAGGGGGAGGGGCCTCAGTAAGGTGCAATGCCATAGAGTCTTCTCTCCAAAGCATCCATGTTCACCAGGGGAACTGGTCTCTGAAGTCAGGAGATCTCCAGGTGCCCCCCTGGAGGGTGGCAACCCTGCAAGTAGCCAGTTCAGGTTTTGAAAATGGGCAGGGCTGGTGGCAATAAGCCTTTTTAGGAAAGGGAGACTTCTCAGCTTGTTAAATGTTGATCTTTACAGGGGGATGTCTGTTTCCTAGGTGCCACTGTTGACCTTAGAAAGGAAAAAAAAAAATGCATAGCACAGAGTATATGCTTTACATGCAGGAAATGGCCAGTTAGATCCTTCCCAAAACCATTAAAACAGCTGCAGCCAGTTGGGAGCAGATGGGAATGGCCTCAAAGGGTTAAAAGGAAA